CCCACTTCTGTACACCAAGCGGGAGCCCTGGTGGCACTGTGGTTATGCCATTCCAAACCATTGGCCTATGCGGGAGAAAGACGTGGCGTTCGACTCCCTCAAGCAGGTACCGTGGGGGCAACTGTCCGATTGGGTCTCTGTGAATCGGCAGCCACTCGATGGCAGTGAGTTTGGTTTTCATACACCAAATACTTAGTGAATCAGAAACTTTGCAATAAAAATCTTACACATCACGAGTAATCATTTGAAAATACACGGAAAAGGATTCACCCAGTACTATAACATGAGTACAGAAAAAGTATTGCTACCAGGGCTCCAGTTCATGTACACACGGTCTTATTCCAAGCAAGCAGCGTCTACATATGCCTCTGCTATTACAGGGCGGCTGCACCTGCACTCTCTCTGTCTCAGTGTCCTTCGGATGCCCTGGGGGCAAGAGTCCATTCCAGACAGTGGCTTCTGAGGGTCAGTTAAATTCAAGGCAGAGATGTCAGCTCAGAAGGCTCTGGTGACTATTTTGGGGGATTTCAAACTGATAATCTTGATACATTTTCTCAAAAAACAAGCAAACCAACCAACCAACCAACCACGGGGGCTTATTAAAAAGAGACACAGTCTCTCAGGAGTACACGTGTCTTAGTCAGTTAGGGTTCGGTCAAAAAAGAGGGATGGGGAAGGGAGTTGGGGGAGCAAGCCGTGCAGGTGGGAGGGGGAGGGAGCACTTACTAGAACTAATGGTGATGACACAACTCATTTTAAAAGTGATTTAACCTTGGGGGGAAAATACTCTAAAATTGATTGTGGTAATGATTGTACAACTCTTCTTAATATGATTGAATTACTAAACTGTGTGATATGTAGATTAAGTGCCAATAAAACTGGTAAAAATATTTAGCAAGGTGAGTAGCTTTATTTATTGACTAATAGCCTTAGAATTCAAAATTTTTCTGGTTTAAGATTTTTGAGCCCAACAATATATTGTAACATAATGGGTAACAACATATAGATGCCAATTTGATAAATGTATATGTTAATCATTTTAGTTCATAGAAAAAAATTAAATCAGCCTCCTTTTAGCTACTATTTTTAATTTGCTGCTTCTTCTTTCCCCTTCCCATGAAAGGTGTAGTACAGCAGGAGTTTGGCACGAAGGAAGGCTACCTGGCCCTCTGGATCCTAGACGGTTAACTATTCTTAGACATTTCCAGTTGTATTACGTGCTTAGCATTCAAAATTAATTGGCATCTAGTTTTCCTGGCATTTCCTTCTCAATGAGAAATCTTTCTGTGCTTAGGAGGAGGAAAGTAGAGGATGGAGTTTTCATATCCTTGAAAAATGATGGTACCATTGAATCGTTTCTGATATTTAAAGTTCAGGTTTCGCTGATTGGCTCCCATAGAAAAGATCCAGAAAAACACCCAGCTAGCTAGTGAAGCTCCTGATCCTTGTCTCCATGGAGACCGGCGGTGCCTTGAGGACAGTGACAGGCTCGTGTTGCTGTTAAAACCAAGAGAGGAAGTCCCACAGAGACAAGTTTCCGTAGCAGATTGGG